TTCAGTTTATCAGACACACTTTAAGTAAATTTTTGTATTGTTGGGTGTAGATTTTTTACGAATGGGATTGTGGCATGTCAAAAATCAGTAGATTAATGTCACGATGACAGGTCTATGCGCACTGGGCGTTTGGGTGTCCAACCTCTCCCAGGAGGTTTCAAACTAAAATTTTTACATAAAAAAACTAAACAAATACCTAAAAACGCATATGTTTTATGATATTTCACTTAAAATACTAAAAAATGTATATATTTTTTATATACACCCCTCCCAGGAGCAAATCCTGCGCACGGTCCTGCACGATGTTATAATATAAGTGGTATATTGGTAAGCATATTTGGCGTGTCAAGATTTACGAGTAAAGTTTAATATAGGTATTATGCAAAAATAAAATTTAAAAATACTCAAAACTTTTGAGTCAAAAGTAATAATCCTTTAACAATTGTTATAAAACCTTTAATACCTCCGGCACCTCTATATACATATGTATACTACCTCGATTTTCAAACGATTTAAATACTTTAAAGAATATTAAACATAACCTAGAAACCACGCTCTCATATATAAGATCGTGCTACATACAGATGTTCGATTTATAGTAATTCTTGACACATCTGTTATAACATCAGGCGCAGGGCCGTAGCGAGGCTGGTGCAGGCGGTGCGGTGCACCAGGGCCCCCGACCTCAAAGGGGCCCCCAAAACTAAAAAGTTTTGCACCGGGGCCCCTGAGTCCGTCGCTACGGCCCTGATCAGGCGGTCTCTTCGTTTGAAAAATTGTTTGAGAAACGTAGGATTTTTTTTTAATAACAAATGAGTAGATTACAAATATGCAAAAAAAGTTCATGTCCCAACTAGTTTCAAAATGGGGTTTTTTTTCGGAAAAAAAAACGGGAAAATTGGGAAATTTTCAGAAAAATTCACTTTTGCATTTTTTTAAAATTTTATTTAAAGAATGATACGAAAAAAAAGCAAAGGATTTTTTTTTGGAAGATTTACAAATTTTAACGTATAATCTGTAAATATCTGTAGATATCTGTAAATATCGAGAAAAAATTATTTTCGACGCTGATTATTAGGGATGGGATATTTAGGTACTAAAAACTGAAAAATAGGTAACTAAAAAGGTACTAAAAAAACATTTTAGGTTAAAAAAACAGCATTTTAGGTAAAAAAAAAATCAGTTAAGTTTAAGTTTCGTTTATAATTTTGTTTAGCCGCATACCCAAACACAGAACATACCCACAATAAACTATTTCTATGCAATAAACTGTGTTTTACTGAGTGACACTCACTACACAGAAGTTCTATGACAGAACATAAGCTCACTAGTAGTGAGTAACTACAAAGAAGGTAACTGTAAAGAAAGTTACTGTTACAGTCTGTAACCATAAGAAAAAATTCTATACCGTTGAGTTGCACGCCCTGGATAAAATATTGGCGCAAATTTTAAAAAGAACAAAAAAAATAAAATAAGTAAAAATACGTAAAAATAGGTAACAAATATGTGAAAATAAACTGACAAATTAAAAAATATGTAACAAAAGTATAAAAAGGTAGTTTAAAGCAAAAACCTCCAAAAAAGGTAAAAAAGGTGAAAAAAAGTTAAAAAAATAGGTAACAAAAGTATAAAAAAGGTAGTTAAAAGCAAAAACCTCCAAAAAAGGTAAAAAAGGTGAAAACAAGTTAGGTTCATATAAAAGAAAATCTTTTAAAACACATTTTGGCATTATTGGTTTTCAAATAGTTACATCAGTTAAAAAAAGGTAAAATAACTAAAATCCCATCCCTACTGATTATAATCATACATATAATATGATTATAATAATTATTTCTTTTATTTTAATTGAGCCAGAATATTCCCATGGGTAGCAAAAATCATATTTGGTGCTATATTAACTATCGTTTTATTTAACAAATCGATTTAAAAAATATATAATTTTGTAATTTAACATAATAAATTATTCATTATTTTTTGGATATAGGTACTCAAAAAGGACCCAACCGACGTTTATTTTCCAAAATCAATTCAATTCAATTCAATATTTAAGTTTATTTGTTTTTGTTTCTGTAATAAACGATTTTTTTGTTTATTAAAATAATGTTAAATAATATTTAAGGTACATTTTTGTGTTAAATCATAATGAGTTGGGACTAGAGTTTTAAAGTGTCGAAAAAAACGGGTTTTTCCGTTTTCCCCCGGCCTTGGAAAAATTAACTTTTTTGTGAAAAATAGAATATATTATATTCTATTTTTCACAAAAAAGTTAATTTTTCCAAGGCCGGGGGAAAACGGAAAAACCCGTTTTTTTCGACACTTTAAAACTCTTGTCCCAACCCATTATGATTTAACACAAAAATGTACCTATTCTTTATCTAAACGCTATTTTAGCCTAGATTTTATCTTAAAAGTAGCATTTTATCTTGTAAAAAGTATAATAGCCCATTAAATTCGGTACTGTTATTTTTTTGGGATGCAGACATGTGTCGCAAACAATGGATATCCGGCCACAGTGCGCAAATAAATATTGGCCGATTGTGGAGCTATATATAAAGCAAGGGCGTGCTGCATTATTCAAAGAGAAAGACGGCGGGCTATGAAAGAAGGAAGGAGAGCGGAGTGGCGTTGGAAAACGCCACCCTTGCAGATGCATGTGTCACTTCACACCCTCATTCATCACGAGGGCTGTTCTGTCTTTTAATTGATTATTTTATGCGATCACCTTCTCCTTGCTTCCGAAACAAGTCGAATGCCCTCGGTGAAAAAAGATTTTAACGCCCGGCACGGCACTCTACGTAAAATGCGATGCCTTTTGCGGATTAATATTCCTTTGAAATTGAGGCGTATAGACTGAAGCAATGTTTTTATAAAATAAATTTAGCAGATTTTTTAAAAATAGTTTTTTAATAATTATAAACTTTTCATGTTTATTAATCAGATTGTTGATCCTATATAGCCTATAGGCTTTCAATTATGCTACTTTTTATAATTTATATATTGAAAAAAAACCAGCGGTTCTTAAAATAATAAAAAAAAACCTTTCAAAACAAAAAATCGCTATAACTTTGTTATTCCTGGGAATTTTGAAACAAAGTAAATATTACATGTAAACATACTCATAAATCTACATTTTCTATATTACATGTAAACATACTCATAAATCTACATTTTCATCCAATTTTTTTACTATGTTTTAAGTTACCAACACCATCTTTTGTTTTAATAATAACTTATGTAGTTTGATACCTCGTTAGATTTCTTGATTTTTTTTCTATCTAACCGAGTAAAATTTTAATATGGCGGCCATAGGAAAAACCAAAGATGATTCTGGTATCTCAAAATCTAGTAGGCGAAAAAATCACAAATAGGATAAAAATGTAAATAAATGTTTACATGTACCTAAAACTTATTATTTTTCAAAATTCCCAGAAGTTATAACAATTTTTGATTTGACAGGTTTTCAGTTTTTTTAAAACTATTTTTGAACCGCTGATTTTTTTTTCAGACTATTTTAATAGACTTGTAACACCCTGTATAGACAAATCATGATTCATGAACTGCAGTTGATTTTAACAGTAATTATCCACGCTGACTTTATTAGATTAATTGTTATTTTATTTACTAAAAATAGGTTTTATCTTATAAATACAATGTTTAATTGAATTTTTATTAAAAAACAAGAATTGTAGCATTTTCTCTTAAAACAATAAATTTATAACTTTTTCACGACGTCTTTAACTTTTTCCAAATTAAAATAACTAAATGGTACTTTAAATTAAGATATACGGTAGGTATACACATTTGAGTTTAGTTTACTTATGCAAAGTTAAAGTGTATTTCTCTCGGATATTTTGGATTGAAACAAATGACAAGAAGCCAACTTATTTGTAGTAAAAAATATTAACCATAATACCTATGGCTAATTTTATGAAAATAAAAATTTATAATTTTTTAATAATAGGTACGTAATTTTAAATAATCGCAAAAAACTATTAAAAAAATAAGTCGTTCTAAAAACATAAAACCTATTGTGTGTTTTTTAATTTTTTTATTGAATTACAGTACTTATACCCTGCTTATAAACTGTCAAAATATCAAAATCGTAAAATTTAATTTATATTATATTGGTAATCCTTTTAAAAATAAATCGTCGGATCTTCCCCCTTGAAATAACCCCCTTTAATAATTAAAAATTACCTAAATAAACACCATTTTTCCAAAGGGGAGACTATTTCGATAAGAAACATTCCAATTTTAAGTTAACGGCATATAAAATGTCGTGATTCGAGCAAGAAAGTCACTTATCTAAAACGCTGATCAGTTATGCATAATTTGTGGGGAATTTTCAGTCAATAAAACGTCCACTATTTATGTTGGTACACGCCATAAATGCGCTGTTTTGGTGAATAAATTTTAATGCGAATGGCCCTATAAAATGTGATAGGGGGTGCCCAAACTAATGCAGTCATTTCATGGGTTGGTTATAACGTTCGTATTTTTATTATTATTTATGTCCAAATTAATTTGTCGGACACCTGCTGCACATCATTTAATAAAGGGGTTGTGTACAGGTATTTCCTTTGTTTTGTTAAGAACATAATTAACCTATTTCCTCATTTTTATGTTCTTAATTGTTTAAGGCACCTTTACGATATAAAAAGACGAGTATACTAATTTAAAAATAAAGGTAATTAAGAGTGTAATTACTTTAATAACATCAATCATAACCGCGTCGTAAATGATTTTATTTATCTTAAAACAATAGATGTTTAATTATACTTATCGGAAAAAATTATTAACACAAGTTTGTATTTTCAAGTTATCTGAACAGTAGCAATATTTATTTATATTGTCATTGACAAATATGTTTTGTTTTATTGGCAGAAGAACTGTCAAAATCAGTGAAATTCTCAGGCCTACTTTGTTAATGTCAAAGGTGCAAATGCACGCAAACTGTTGTTTTATTTTGACGTAAAAAATGTAAACAATAATAAACTTACCGTTTTCTGGTCTGGTGAGTACGGTTTGATGAAAGCCCATTTCGTTAACGGTTTTATTGATAGAATCGCAACCCTTGGGATTGGCCAAGGCGATGCCGGCCCCAAATAGCACACAAAACAAAACAATACCCTGTATACTGGCAAAACATTTGAATAAACACTCATTCCTATTGATCACAGCCATGGCTTATAAGTTTAATTCAACAAAAGATATGCAATAAAGTATCTGCTTAGAATTTTTTATTCATTCAACTGGATTCCATTACGGATTTCGGTTGCTAAGGCACATCAACCCTCAACAATACACATATTTTTGTCGACTGCGCTGAAGAAGTCGAACGCGATGAGAATGGTCCGTTGCGGGGTGCGCATGCGCAGTTTAGGCGGTTCATTGTGTCGGCGAAGTATTTGCGACGTTGCCGGCTCCTGTCGCTGCAGTTTTCGGTGGCCAGGTAGGGGATCAAAAACGCTATCGATATGTCTATTGATGAATTCTTTGTGTAATTTAATACGAAAAACCGCATCTTTTACACTCGAATTACCCATGAAACATCATAATTTGTAACATCTATGTTATAGTATTTTTTAAAGGAGAAGTTCTCAGGATTAATGTTTTTTATTTTATCTTGCTTATCTCGATTTTTATTGATTGGGCTTAAATGCAATAACTCTAATCTTTGCTAATAAAAATAATTCTGGTATTTTATAGTTCTGAACATCATCACGTTTATTGTGCTACCTGATTATTTACTTTGTTATTTTAAGCTATATTTATCTTAAACATTAGTAGATTATGGCAAAAATTAAAATGCAAGGTGCATTGTAATTTATGGGTCTTTCTACCTATTTATTTTAATCTTAATTTAAATACCTATGTATTACATTAAATAAGTTATACAGTTGTTCATTTTTTGCTTTTTTATATTGTTAACGTAAATTTTGATTCTATAATTTAAATTATCGGGCCATTAGTCATAAGTAGGTAGTACCTAATATATCACCAGGTACTATGGCGGACACGGAATTTTGAACGACTAACATCCCGTTGACATCAAAATCTAAACTTACTTCCGGTTTTTACTAGTCTTATCATTTTGACAGCGAAAGCAAAAATGTTTAATAATGTAGGTATCTTTGCTATTTACCTACAGACAACCTAATTATGACGTTCAAAATACCGTGTTTGCCACTACCTAGGAATCATGTTATTTTTTAACACCCTAATAGTTTTGGCCAGCTTAAACCTTAAACTAAAAAAGGTACTCTTGATCGACATCGATAAAATGTACTGTTTACGAAAAATAAATTTTTTTGTACAATAGGGTTTTTTGCTTTGTTTGTAGGTCTGTGGTTTTTTGCATTTATTTTTATCTTTTTTGCAATGTTTTTTTTTACATTTACCGATTTTAATATGTTCGATCTTTTTTCTTCGTTTTAGCGGCGTCCGTTATGGGCAACTATCTCCATAGAGGGGGCCGTAGTAAAAAAAATATAGGAACTTGTCATATTATTTTTATGTGTTCTACCTATCTAAATCCGGAAGATTGCCCACATATTCTGGGACACCCTGTATGTTTGGTTAATTATTACAAATAATGATTTTCATAGTTGTGCCAAGTTTGAAACCATCGCCCAGCAAAGAGAATGCAAAGAGAATGCACAAAATAAGATGCGTAGAAGGATATATAAAATATCTTAGGTAAAGGATTTTCCAACCTTCGAGTTTTGAATATAACTAAACATTTTTATTGAATTTGTCTTTATGGTGGGGAACCCAAAATGGTGGGGGCCCGGGGCTTCTGTCCTCTTTGCCCTCCCCTAAATCCGGGCCTGATGATAGGCTATTTTATAGGTATTCTTATTATCAACGATAGACATAGTTTAGGAAATAATTCAGAAAATATTTAAAAATACCTATTAAAAACATTAAAAATGGATATTTTTAAACATTCATTAGTATCAACATTAATATTAATTAAATATAATCATGAATATAATTATTATAGGTAATCACATTTTCATCGGCTTAGGAAATTATGGAACAAAATATTGAATGCCTCATGATTATGCCATTACTATCTGTACTTGTTCGCTTAAAAAATTGCCATAAAAGTGTATTTTTTTATTTATCTATTGTCTGCAGCATGCTTAATTGGTCTGACTGGGTATAATTTTAAATTATATTTTGCATTACACATATAATACCATAGCATTAATCTAACAAAAATAATTAAGATTTAATTGCTAAGTATTTTTCATTAAAATTTTGGATCTGGTTTAAAAGTAAATGGGACCGACATTCTATGATTTGCAAGATATGTATTCAATATATTGAATACATTGTATTGGATATAGGCATATGGGATTTTTTGTCCTAAAACAAGTTACCTGTATTCGTTCTTGTTTTAACAAGTTTTTGAAAATGATTCACCACTAGTTAGGTATAACAGCTGCTGTTATACCTTACTAGTGCCGCTGAGTAAAGAGTATTTCTCAATCAGTGCTAGTGCACTATAGCGAATCATTTTCTAGAATGAGTTTATAAAATGTAAAAAACGTTAATAATTAAATTTCAATAATTATAATTATTATATATATAATAATTATTATCTATAATATGATGATTATATATAATATGATGATTAAATTTAAACATGGTAAAAAACAACGAACAGTGTACATACCAGAGCTGGCCAAGTACTGAGTACTTTTACTCGTATTTCAATACAAGTATTTTTCATTTGAAATACTTATTACTCGTACTTTCAAACCAAATTCAATGTACTCGTAAAAAATACTCGTGGAATTGACGAGTAATATATTCGCGTATTTTCGTTTATTATATGGATGACTTTTTGCCAAAATATCGTAAGCATCAAAACATTTTGTTTGGAAGTCTGTTTTAAATTATATAATATATAGTATAATATAATATATTATAGCCTATAGGTTTAATAACAAGTAAATAGATAAAATTATAAACTATATAAGAATTGTTATTATTTTGTTATATTAATAATATGGAGTTTCATCGAGTAAAGATCGAAACAATCAACAAAATAATTTTATAAATTTGTATTTGTATTTTTATAGCTCAGGACCAAAGTACCTATGTATAATGTACACTCTCCTAAAATGAATTAGTCAAAAAAGACTAGTTATTAGTGGAAATTAGTGAAAATACCGTCAAAAATTATGAAAGTAAAGCAGTTTTTGAAATTTAGTCAATTCCATATTATATGGAAAATGGACTATATCTCAAAAACTGTTCTACTTTTCAAACTTTTGATGACATTTTCGGATTCAGGGAACAATTTTTCATGGAAATTGACAAATTGCTATTGACGAAAATTATTAGTGGCTGTTTTTTCGCTATGACAATTAGTCATTTTTGACTATATATATAATCATATTAACTAACTTTTTTTTTCAAAAGTACTCGTACTCTTTATACTCGTGTTTTCACGATTACTACTCGTAACCGTAACTTCTCTTTACAAATGTACTTACGAGTAAAGTACTTACGAGTAAATATTTTAAGTACTCGTACTTAAAATTTTACGAATACTTTTTTTCGTACTCGTGCCCAGCTCTGGTACATACCTATGTATATTAGGGTGTCCGTTATTTACCAACTTGTTTATTTTTCGCAGCTCCCCCTAAATTTTTAGTTTATGACTTAAAAAAAATTATCATACTCATAAGCCCTTAATCATCATCTTAAACCTTGCCACAAAGATGATAAACGTTTTACATTTAATTTTTTTCTGCCTAACAAGTTAATATACAGACATAAAAGCAAATTAAACGCTGTACAAAAAAGCTTTCCTAGGTATAATTTTTTGATAAATTCACTGATTTAAAAGTTGTTAAAGTTAATTAACTTATAGTAATTTTTTCGATTTTTTTACAAAATTATAATTATTTTTATGAAAATGAATTGTTTATTTTTGAAAATAGGTAGGTATATGATTTTATTGTATTATTGAAAAAATAAAAATTATTGAAAAGAGATAAGTGAAAATTTTTGACAAGAGATTCGATAAATTCAATTTTTTTTATTACATCAAACTAGTTTTACTAAATTTTAGTAGGTACGATTACTTTTTTAAATAATCTTTTTATTTCTGTGAAATGCTACAAAATTTTATACGATTTTATAAAATATTATACAATCGACAAAATAAAATTGTACAGCGTTCAATTTCCTATAAAAATATATATTATATACATATGTATGTATCACTTATTGCTGTATATTAACTTGTTGGGGAGAAAAAATGTAAAACTTGCTGAAATGTTATTTAAATGGAAAATGTATAATGTAGGTATATATACTTAGTTAAGTTTAGTTAAGTTTTGAATTTATTCATAAATTTGGATCCGCTACCATTATTTAAAATTCAGGTATTTATAAACAAGTACATAATTTAACATCCTGTTATAATACACCAAAATTAATTAGTTAATTAAATGAATATTTATAAAGGTCAACAAGATTTTAAAAATGAAAAATATTGAAAGCCGCTGGCCGACGGCCAGTGGCCGTTGATGTTGAGAAATATGCAATCAGAAAAGTTTCGGAAACAACTTAAACTAAACAGCGTATTTCTTCAATTTTCTTTTTATATAGCCTTTGAAATGTCATTAGGCCAAAAGTGTTTTTTTGTACTGGGCGGAGGCCTACAATTGAGCAAAGCACAAAAAACACTTGGCCGACTGCCATACAACTCATTTTCTTCAAAGCACAATTTTATTTATAGTTTTTTAATATGCCAAATCCAAAATGTGACTTTGAAAAACATTTTTTAATTGAATTTTAAGAAATTTTTATTCCCCGGGTAGCGGCTAAAACTGTTTTTAAAAATTTGAAAAAAATACATCTTATTTGTGTACCCTTCTCACAACTTATTTACTTATACCAAGTGAGATTTCCAAAAAAAAATAAAAATTTGTCCTTTTCGACCCGGCAAGCATATTTTACGTCAGTTGTCATAGTATGATTTTTTATAAAAAAAAATGGCACTAATGCAAACATAATACCATGTATAGGATGTTTTATTATTTATATACAAATGTTACTTTGACTTTGTTTAAATTATGTAAATTTAATGTATTATTATTAAAACACAACCAAATGAACGAATTTAATAAATCTTTATTCGAGATCATCTTAAGGCGAAGACACCTTTAATAGCTATATTAATGAAGAAAAAACCACTTGTAATATTACCTACAGGTTTGTGAAGGTTAAGAGAAAAAGAAGAAGATACGTAGCCATGAATGAAACCAACAAGACCCGACCTGTCTCTCGTTCGGCTCACAAAGGATTTGCCAAGGAATTTCTTTCTGTTTCTATAGGGAGGTTACATGCCTAGGCCCTATCAGTCTTTCAAAGATTAATAAACCGGATAAAATGCCGAGATTATAAAGAATCCTAAACCATTGTTACAATGTTTTTAAATGTTGATCTCTGATGTTGATGCATCGGAAGATTATGTGGGATTAGTCAATTTTCAAAATTATCAATTAGCATGGCTTAAAAGATTTCGTTTTGGTAATTCCGTTCTATTTTTACCATAACTTAACTTATTTTATTCTTTGTTTAAGGTATTTATTACCTAAGTAAAAATATTTTCCAAGAATAACTTTCTCTAACTGTTAGGCTAACAATGCAGTTTTGACGCAATTTTTAAAAATCAATTTAGGCCAAAGATATATCAACGATCTAGGCCTACCCAAAATGTAAAAAAATGCAATTGCAAAAGTTCATTGAAATAAAATATTCTCTCAATGCAAAAGTCATCAGTTCCTGATTGACAAAAACTTTAAAATTTTAAAGATCTAACAGGACGAGTTTCAGAAATCACCCTGTGGCTTTACAATGTCAAATATCTACATGTATGTAATTGGTATGTATACCAATTCAGAGTTTCCCATTTATAAATGCAATTATATCATATTATTTTGGAAACAGGGGTTTTAATAATTGCCCCTTGATATTAAATCAAAATCCCAACAGGTGGCAACATTTAAAAATTAGGTATTTTGTTATTATGACCAACTAAATTTTAAACAATTAAATAGTTATTTAAATAGTTTTAATTCTGACGCATGCTCATTAACCCAAAGAACAGTTCATAACATCTGAGCACCAATGTCAAGTTTTTATCAAAACATCACTAAATTTTAGTACTCGACAAAATACATTCTAATTTTATTAAAAAGTAAATAAGAAAAATGAGCCGTTTAAACCAAATGAAATTTCGGAAAGTTACTCACGTTATTTTTGACATGGATGGAGTTCTTTTAGGTAAATTAGCAATGCTTAATGTTTACGTAATGTTTTTCATGATAAATTCGTGTTTTAAATGTGAAAATGTTCTTGAACGATGAATGTCAACTTTATGATTTTGAGGTTAGAACCTAACCCTATCGTCCTCAAATGTGCCAATTTAAAAAGTTTTAAAGTGTGTGTTATGCATATTTAATAATTAATAAGATTTTAGTATCTGTTAGATAATATTTATAAGTAAATACCTTTTAAATTATATAATAATATAAATATAAAATATTTGACAAGTTAAGTTATGCAACCCTTATTGCATACAATGTAAGAATGGTTGCAAGCGCAAGGAAAATATGCTGATATTCGTGGAAAAAATTCAAAACTGGGTTCGTCAATATATACCGGGTGTTTCCTAGTACATGGAATATTCAAGTTAGTTTAAAACATATATCACAGTGATAGAGAGATTGTTGACAGATATATGGTTTAAATGAAAGGTATTCTATGCATTCTAAAAGTTATTTAAAAAAATATGAAAAAGTTAAAAGTACCTATCTTAAGAACAATGTGTTTATGTTATGTTTATGGGCTTTTTTCATATTTTGAAAAGTAGAATACAAGTTGAATTTTCTCCACACTCTTATGAAACATCCTGAATATATAAAATCTATTAGGTTCCCTTATTACTTGTAGATACAGAAGATTTGTATTCAAAAGCCTTTCAAAACATTCTTTCCCAGTATGGTAAAAATTTCGACTGGCCCCTAAAATTGGAAATAATGGGTCGGATAGGTCGCGACATAGCCAAATATATAATTGACAAGTTAAACCTTCCCATTACAGAGGATGAATGGTTGGAAATGTCTCAAAAAGAATTAGAAAAAATAATGCCACAATGCGAAGTTACACCAGGTAATGTTGTGTATTTTTGTTATTTCAGATTCAGAGGGCGTGTACAGAAGCGCCATCGCCAGCATAGCGAAGCGCTTCGGGAAGGAGTACACTCCTCAGGTAATGGCGAAAGTGGTTGGTACCCCTGAGAGGGAGTCATCGCGTATTGCAGTTACTGAGATGCAACTTCCCATTTCTGTGGATAACTTTCAAAAGGAATTTAGAACAACTGCGCACAAGTATCTAAGCAATGTACCCCTTATGACAGGTATTCAGAAAACTCACTTACTAAGAAATTTAATGTTTTAAGTATCTCAGTAGGGGAGGCCGTAGAAAAAAAAAATTATAGGAACTTATTTTATGTGTTATATCTAAATCCGGGAGATTGCCCACATATTTTGGGACACCCTGTATGTAAACAATATACAATTATAATATTAATTATTAAAAAGTATAAAGTGAGGTAACTAACAGTTATCGAATTTTTGATTGGCCCAAACTGAATTTTTACAGCCTAGGAGGTAAATCACAATATTGAAATTGAGATTATTATGATAGTAATTAAGAAAATTTTTTATAGCAGTTAAAATATTAAACTTTCTAAAGATTTTAAACTATGAACAACTGTTACATAACAAACTAAACAAAGTATAGAATTAATTTTCGCTAAAAATTGTAGCTTTTAGTAGTTCAAGTGATAATTAAAAAAATTGTACTTATTTATGCAAAAGATAAAAATAATTGTATTGTTTAAGGTGCTAAAAAATTGGTAACCCACCTACACGAGAACAACATACCCATAGCTGTTGCAACATCATCAGGAGCAGACAGCTTTAAAATAAAGTCAGAACGCCATAAAGAATTCTTTAAAATCTTCAGCCACATTATTTGTGGAGGAACTGACCCTAATGTAAAAAATGGAAAACCTGCACCTGACATATTTTTACATTGTGCCTCTCTATTTCCAAATGCACCAAACCCAAATAGTTGTTTGGTTTTTGAAGATTCACCAAATGGTGTTACAGCTGCAGTCAAAGCTGGTATGCATTGTGTTATGATTCCTGACGAAAATGTGCCAGAAGATTTAAGAAAAGATGCTGATGTTATTGTTAAATCACTTGATGAAACTGACTTAAGTTTATTTGGGCTACCACCATTTAAATAAATTTATATTTATAAGTTATAAAGAAATGAGCAATATAAGATGTTTTTTCTTACCTATTATGTAGGGTAAAGAATACTGTTTGTTTTAAATCACTAATTTTATTACCTATTTACAAAATTACCAAATATTTACTTTGCTACAGCAGAAATTCTGCTTAAAACATCAGAAGCTGACAAATCCTTTAAGGAAACAGATTCTTCCTTTCCTCTTTCTAAAAAATATATATTTTTATGATAACCTATTTTATTATTTCAAAACAAATATTTACCCATCCTAGCCCATAATTTGGGTTGTATTCCGGAACATTCTCTAATCAAAATTGGAAATTTTGGGTTTGATTTCTTTAATTCTACATAGTGTTGTTCAATAAATTCCCTAAAATATTATATAACCTTAAATTTAAACATTACTTATAATTTCCAGCTTACCTCACGCCTTTACTGGCTGCACCAGTTTGGCATAAATGAATTCTTAATTCTTTTAAACGAGATGAAAATTTTAAGGCAGATGCCATTATTTTATTTTAAAATTTCCAAAAACCTATTTTTACTTACGAAATGTCAAAATTATCTGTCAGTGACAGACTGTCACTTCACAATTTTGCCAACCTTATAAATTGGTTTTGACATATTTTACAGAAATTTAAAATTTATTGTTATTTTTGTACGTATTTATTAATCATACATTATAATATGGTTGTTTTTATACTTTTATAGTTTTGCATGGAATAAAATTTATTATTACTAATGATTTGCCGAAATTGCTGTTGAAAAATTTAAAATTCTAACCTTAAAAAATTGCAGTAAACACAAAATGGCAAGTAAAGAAGAAATTGTAGATAATGATATTCAAACCCTATCTGATTTATTTGATAAAGGATTAAAGTTATACAATGAAATTGGAAATAATCAACTGCCTTCAAATAGCATGGAATTTCAGGTAATTAACAGAGTCCTAAAAAATTCCTGCAAAATAATTGTATTTTTTTTTAGTTAGATGTCAAGAAAGCAATTAAAATCTTCGAAAAATCAACCCAGTTGGTGTCGATAGCAGACGTTTTTAGCAAGAATGAAGGATTTGAGGAGGTGGCATCAAACGATTTAAAATATTTTCTGTTGCCTGCCTTATTAGGATCGCTAGTTTTAAAACTTACAAGTGGAGATAGAAGACAGATAGTGGATGTTGCAGAAGTCTACTTTAAAGACTTCTTGAATAGAACAAATGATTATGGGTTGAGTAATTTTGTTTTTAAAGACAAAGAAAATGTTGGTCAAGAAGTGGAGAAGATTAGAGAACCAAGACAAAATGAGTTGGATCAGCTTGCTGATGCTGTAAATACAAGAGCACACAAAATTCAGAGGTACAAGGAACAGAATCAGTTGAAAGCCAAATTGGAGGAGTTGAAAAATAATATGGAGAATGAGAATATTGATGATGATGTCAAAAAGAATTATTTTTTGACTATGATTAAGTTGTTCATTCACGAGGCTATAGATGAGTTGGGTAGTATTGATATGGAAAAACCCATTTTGGAGCATATGGCCAACATAAAGAAAGATGATGAGACTGTTAAACCTCTAAAGAGACCTCCAGCACCATTGAAGCCTTTTATTATAACAAGGGATGAGGTTCAGAAAGCTGTGTATGGAGCTGGTTATCCTGGATTAGCTACTATGACAGTTCAGGAGTTTTATGATAAGAGAGTTGCTGATGGTAAGTACAATTTTTTTATATGTAAGAACAGCTGTTAAATTGTAAAAAACCTTGTAAAAGCTTGTTGGGAAGTAAATTTTATTTTTTTATTTTAATGTTTTTGAATTTATTTGTATAAAAGAAACAGTACAAACTGGAAATCAGCGCTGCTAGTGGTAAAAAAGCACGTAATTTGTGCGATTTAGTAGGCAGGTTCTGTAAATTGTCTCAAAACAATTAAACAACTAAAACAATCCAATTTTAAAAACTTTTTATTAGAATTATTTTTTTATTCTATACAGGGTGCACCAAGTATCCTATGTCTATACTTCTATGGGTATTTTTTTATTTAAAGGACTACAAAGTCGGTCTGTCAATTCCCCCTATTGACTTTGTACTCCTTGTGTAGGCTTTTTGATAAATTGTCTCAAAACAATAAAACAACAAAAACAATCCTTGATAAATTGTCTCAAAACAATAAAACAACTAAAACAATCCAAGTTTAAAAACCATAAATGGAAAAATATTTTTTAGAATTATTTTTTATACTATACAGGGTGCACCAAGTATCCTTCTATGTGTATACCCTGTTGTAAATGACCGATTAATTCCTGTGAAACCAATTGAAGTATTGGTTGGTATCAATGGGTCTGAATTGGACTTATTGGATTTAATTGGGCGCGATATAAAACAGAAATTGGTTTTTACTGGTATTTTCCATGATGGAAAAGTCCAATTAGGATTCTAATGTTTTTTATTGGTTTCGATAAAGCTACCCATGGGTAATTTCCAATTAAATTCAATTGGGCATTTCCAGTGTAAGATTCGAAAAAGGAATCTGCTAATTGGTTTTTCCCAATACTTTAAAATATGGAAAAATCCAATTAGGATTCTGTTTTATAGCGGTTTCGATTGGATAAAGCTACCTATATATAGGTAATATAGGTAATTACCTACCTATAGGTAATTTCCAATTAAATTCAATTGGGCATTCCCAGTGTAAGATTCGAAAAATCTGCTAATTGGTTATTCCCAATACAATACAAATATCGCAAGAGGGCTCTCGTGTAGCTGCGCAAAACCAACGAGGTTGAGACGCCATCATAAAGAAAAAACAACACAAACAAGTCTTTGGACGCTATTTATTAGCGGTTTTTTTTATTAGTCGATTTCTGTGTTAAGTGTACTTATATCTTAAAAAAATGTTTATATGTGTAAGGTTTAGGGACGATGACGTAAGAATGGTTGTCACAGCGGACAAAATAAAAAAATTTGACATAAACAATATCGACTTTGACCATGCCTACAAACATCCTTTGCAAGAAAGACAAAAAAATGATTATAACCGAGTAATTTTATTTACTTTTTATTACTTTTTTTGTGATAGTGAGTTATACGTATCAATACATACATATATCACAAAAAAAAAATAATAAAGAAATAAAATTACTCAGCAACAATAAATTTTTTGTCTCTTCTGTGAAAAATGAATTCTGGTTTTTACACGGTTATCCTTCTGGGATCTAAAATTATTTTTGAATGAAAAATAAACTAGTAGGGCATGGTATGGATTGGTATTTTTCAATCCAAGCCGCTGACTTCATTGGAATTCCAAGTTAACTTACCAATAGGAATGCAACTGGAATGAATTGGTGATTCATACGATGACGTAAGAATGGTTGTCACAGCGGACAAAATAAAAAAATTTGACATAAACAATATCGACTTTGACCATGCCTACAAACATCCTTTGCAAGAAAGACAAAAAAATGATTATAACCGAGTAATTTTATTTACTTTTTATTACTTTTTTTGTGATAGTGAGTTATACGTATCAATACATACATATATCACAAAAAAAAATAATAAAGAAATAAAATTACTCAGCAACAATAAATTTTTTGTCTCTTCTGTGAAAAATGAATTCTGGTTTTTACACGGTTATCCTTCTGGGATCTAAAATTATTTTTGAATGAAAAATAAACTAGTAGGGCATGGTATGGATTGGTATTTTTCAATCCAAGCCGCTGACTTCATTGGAATTCCAAGTTAACTTACCAATAGGAATGCAACTGGAATGAATTGGTGATTCATAGCGCCAAAACACATTTGAAACCAATTCAAACCAATTACTTATTTTTTATTGGATTCTATTGGTCATTTACAATAGGGTACTTCTATGGGTATTTTTTTATTTGAAGAGCTACAAGGTAGGTTAAATAAGACAAAAGTTAATTTGAAAAAAACTGAAAACTGTTATAACCAAAAATCTTTATAACTTTGTTATTCCTGGGAATTTTAAAACAAAGTAAGTTTTACATGTAAACATGGATATGAATCAACATTTTCATCCACTTTCTTTTCTACTGTTTAAACATCCAAAATTCCAATTCAGTTTTTTTCAAATTATTTGAGAACCCCTGATTTTCAAATGCAATTTTATTAGACTAATTACTTTCGTCTAATTTAATCGACCTTGTAGCTCTTCAAATAAAAAGATAGGTACCCATACATAGAAGGATACTTAAGTATAATTAGTTTACCCTGTGTATATTTTTGACAACCTGTTTAGGTAATTTATATTAACTTGAAAATACATACCTTATCTTTTAAGTTAATACAATAAACATTTCTATAAAAAAACGATATTTCAGGTGTTTTTCCTGATCCAACCAAACCACCAAACAGGAATCCAAATACTATGAGCCTACAGGAAAAAGCACTTGCCGGCGTTCCCATAAATGATGAAGAAAGTGATCAAGCACGCGAAGAAAGTTTAGTAGAAGAAGATGACGATGAAAATTTGGCAAGGATGAGAGCAAAGGATGAATTTAAGGATGAACACAGAAGAGGGTGGGGAAATAGAATGAATAGAAGTTAAGATTATTTATTGATGAAATTTTTGTATAAATACTAACCACTAATTTTATGTACTTTAGCAAACCAATAAAAAAACAATAATTTATTTTACATTTTTTCTTAATAATTTTTTTAAGTTTATTAAAAACAAATACAATGTAAACTATTTTTAATTAGCGCTATTTAATAAAAAATTACTAATTTTAACTTAACTTTTTATGAAATTAAAAGTAGAGAGCGGATTTTAAGTTTTTTTTAAGTTTTATATGCATATATTTTTTCTTGCTTTTTAGTAAACAGGATATCCCTGTCCCTGACCACGATGTAGGGGAGGATATTTTAAGTATATTGTATATTTTAAATCATAACTTATCAACAAATTTTTAAATTTTATTTTTGACTCGTCTTTAGAAAATTGTTTTATTATACTTAAATAAACAGTTCCAAAACACTAAAATAACAAAAATAAAATTTAATTTTGGAACCCATATAATTTAAAAACTAGTAAAAAAAATATGTAATTTTTATTATATATTTTCAATATTTTTAGTTTTATTTATAATTTAAAAAAAGCAACTTTCTAGATTTAGCAGAATAGGCACAGGAGCCAGACAAAAATCACAAAAATTGGCATATTATTACAAAACTTTAGTGGTTTACCATTCTTTTATGAGATGAACTAATTAGATAACAATAATTGATATTGAAAACATACTTACTAGGCAGTAAAATAAAATTACACTCATTTCAATAATTGCTACAGAAAAAAGTTTTAGCCTCTTATAAGAGAGTAAGAAAATTACACGATTTCAGGTTTCTAAAGGGTGCCGATTAAAAATAAAGCAACTAAAAATTAAAACGGCAACAGTTTTTCATATATGATACCTAAAAGATCATCCTCAAATTTTTTTATTAAAATAAAAAATCATGCAGCGCACTTTTAAATTCATTTTTGGTGTTTTCATTTGGATTGACTCATACTAATCCGCAATTTTGTGATAAGTTACTTTAATTTATCAATTTTACATGGAAACAGTTTTACACTAATAATGGATTTTAACTAAAATATTAATTTACACTAATAATGTATTTTAACTAAAATATTAATTCTTAGTTAAACACTATCCTGGTTAACATCAAACATGAATAAATGTATTATTTTACTTAATTTATTATTTGTTGTAAATGCATCTTTATTATCAAATATTACTCAGCAGGTAAGTGCTGTTTTTAAAAATATACATATATTTAATTATTTCTTTTATAATTATTTTAACTGGATTTAAAAATGTATTAGAAATATGTAGAAGATGGTATAATCCCCGATGTTATTGACGTGGCACCCTCCAAAAAATTCACTGTTATCTTTGACAGTGACAAAAAAGCCGAATTGGGAAACCATCTTACACCTACCGAAGTTAAAAATCAACCGAAAATCGAATGGGAGGGCTTGGTTGATCCTAAAAAATATTACGTGCTTGCGATGGTCGATCCAGATATTCCCAGTAGGCTGCTTCCCATATTGAGGGAATACAAACACTGGTTAATAGGAAATATTCCTGGAAATAATTTTTCTTCAAAGGACGCGGTTGTCATTGCCCCTTATCAGAGTCCTGTACCTCCTAGGTTCACCGGATTTCATAGGTATAATTTAATTAAACGTATTTTTATTGTAAAACTTACTGACAACTTACAGATAATAATATTACCTATGAATTGTCGTTTTAAATCCCTATGTTCGGAAGCGCAAATATTATATTAATAGTAAACCACTTACATTAGTTTTATAATAATTATAATAATAACCTTTATTTAATACATAGCTTTTCTGCTTAAGCTATGCTTCTTACGCTTAACATTTGACAATTTTTGAAATTATAAAAATATATACATATATATAAAAAAAATTCTACTCCTATTGCATATTATTGACATTATTTGTTTTTTTTCGTAAATAATGGAAACCAAACCGGCCTAGCAACGTGAATAATGAGTTCAATATTTACGTTGTTAGGCATCAGTGATTTTCTGATTTCAATATTCACTGTTATTTGAACCAATCGGGTTTTAAATTGGGAAAAAGGTAAGGTACTGTCTGTCCACTCTAAGTTGGCTGAACTAAGGAATTTTGTTGTTTAGATATTAAAGAATTATCGTACTGTGTGCTTTTAAAACAGATTTTATATTATAAATAATACTAGTTTATAATATGTACCTACTAGTATTATTTATAATATAAAATCTGTTTTGTACTAATATAATATAATAATAAATATAATATCTAAACTACAAAATTCCTTTGTTCCGCCAACTTAGAGTGGACAGACAGTAAACAGATGTCAGATTTTTTTATATATACGAGAGGCGACTATAATGATCTTTAAAATCGGAAAAAATGAGGATATAATAAATTTTGTTATCAATGAAAATTACTTAATTGGAGTAGAAAAAGCAAAGTATTACATATTATATAATATACTATTAAAATATTGAAAATTCAAATATTTTTTAGTTCTAAATATGTTGAAAATTTTAAAATGTTTATTTTTATTTTACACTACTGTGCGAATCTGTCCTAGCAATGTTAAATGTACCTACTGTGCGAATTGGTTCTCCTATTTTTAAATTTTATTCCACTTTGCAAATTTATCCTACCATTTTTAAATTTTTCCCGATGTGAGAACTTGTCCCATCATTTTTAAACATCCCACTGTGCGAATTTATCCTACCATTTTTAAATTCATCCTAGGTTTAAGTAGCCGCGAGTTTGTTCTAACTACAGGTAATTTGTACTTTAAACATAGTGTACTAGATGGCGAGTTAAAAATGCACTGTGTTTTGGATTGTTTTTTTATTTAAATTTATTTTAATAATAACAAAAAAAATATTTAAATAGAATATTTTTTGTAACCCCCTTTTTAAACAATAATATTAAATGAAGTGAAAGAGCATACAATTAGCTACAAAAATCATTTAAATTTATTTTAATTAATTTTAATTAATTTTATAGGTTAAGTATGAAAAGAAGTTTTTTACACATTAAAATATAGTGAAAAAATATTGTTTGTACCTAACCGATATATAAAAAATAAAGAAGTAAAACATGATTTTTGTAGCTAATTGTAAGCTCTTTTACGTCATTTATAAATAAAATATTTTTTTTTCGAATAAAAAATGGGGTCACAAAATTAAAAAAAAAAAATTTAAATATTTTTTTTTTGTTACGTATTAAAATAAATTTAAATGATTTTTGTAGCTAATTGTATGCTCTTTCACGTCAATTAATATTATTATTGTTTATTATTATGTTAAATTATTATTTTTTCGAATAAAAACAACGGTGTGGGTACCCGGGTAGTCTGGGTGTAGGTATCATTAAACTTTGGCTATAAATAGATTCGAGTGGATATGTTATTGCCTATTTTTTCTTATTTTGCATGCTCTCTAAAAGTGAATTAGTCAAAAATGACTAATGATTAGCGAAAAAGCAGCCACTAATAATTCTCGTCAATAGCAATTTATATCCCGAACATTTAGCAGTCAATTTCCATATAAAATTGTCCCCTGAATCCGAAAATGTCGTCAAAAGTTATAAAAGTAGAACCGTTTTTGAGATATAGGTAGTTAATTTTCCATATAATATGGAATTGACTATATCTTAAAAACTGTTCTACTTTCATAATTTTTAAAGGTATATTACATAAGAATTGTCTATTAAATGTTGGGGATACCATGGTATCCCATGATATATGTAAGTGGAAAAGCAGCCACTATTAACTGTAGTAACTAGTTATTTTTAACTAATTTATTTTTGGGGGGGCGTTTGGAGGCACCCAATTCCAAATGACGTCCTAGACGTTATTAGACTGGAATACTTTTCTGTATTTGGCCCCTCCCTAGACCGGGGGACCAAGGCGAACCAAGTTAGCATAGGATATTATAATATCGTAATAAGCATTCAATGTATGTTTCCTAAGTGGAAAGAATTCTTTTAAAAGCTATTTCATAATAAAACATTTTTCTTCATCTTCAACAAAAGTTACCGGTTAATAATATTTTAGGTACATATTCTTACTTTATGAACAAAAGGATTTTTTGATGTTTGACGAGCCAAAGGGAACTGAATTATCACCAAAAAATAGACCGCGTTTTTCTGTTAAATCATTTGCGAAAAAATATAATTTGGGAGATCCAATTGCTGGTAATTATTTCAAAGCCAAATGGGACGAGTACGTGGACGAAAAAAACTTAATCATGATAAATGATTTATTTAAAGGACTTCTAAATAAAACTGCGACTTGAAATTTTTATCGTACCTTTTTGTATATTGCAGGAAAGATTATTATTTTAATTAGCTAAATATTACTCAATATACCAATTGAAATATTTGTCTTTTGTTACATACATACCTACATACCTAACGTTTGTTTATTAGCCAATTTTTAAACATAATTAAAATCGTGTAACTAATAGAATAAATGTATTTTGCCGAGGGCTTCAGTGCACATACGCTTTAAATAATTACTGTTACATAAATCACAAGGTTATTCATTGGTCTTCCTTAATCTTCAAAAATGTGACGTGTTGAGAGGAAAAAGACAGCAGTAGTACCTACAATAAGCCCGTTGCAAAAAATAACAGAACCTTGAAGTTTGCAATAAAATGATTCAGAAAACAATTTTATACTGTTTTATTGCTTTAAAAAAAGCGAATAAATACAATGACTGTAGGTTTATCATGCTGTTTTAAAACAAAGAAGTAAGTAATATAATTTAAAATAAACCCTCCATTTTATTTTAAATTGTATTACTTATTTTACCTATATAATATACGAAATATTTGTCTACAAAGGATATTTTTTTAATACAAATTTAATGGATTATTTTTTGTACCACTATTTAATAAAAATATGTAGTATTAATACCCCGGCGCATTCGCCATTTTTAATAATACCTGTATCTAAACTGACGGAAAAGCTCCCCAGAACGTTTTAGAAGACCCCCAGGGGAGTCGCAAGAAAAAAAATCTTCCGCAATAATCACAGAGAAAAGTAATGTCTTTTACATTTACTTGACCTGTGAAAACTTATATTTGGTTAATACAAGGAAATAATTAGTTAACTTCTTATCCCAGGTTTAGAAACAAACATCTAACTAAAAAAAATATTATATCGTTTTCATGGATAAAATAACAAAACAAGACTAACTAGACTGAAAAGATGAAGGTGGGGACTACATTTCCTGAAAGTTTCAGATTTTTATTTTTTCCTCAATATAATGATTTCTGAGGGCAAAATTGGCTAATTTTGAAAATTATCAAGATTCAATAATTTTTTTAATAAAGAAAATGATACTATAGAAACTTAAAACAATAGTTACGTTTTCTATTGTATAAGTACTTGATACCTGAAAAACGCCACTTTCTAGATTTAGCAGAATAGGCACAGGAGCCAGACAAAAATCACAAAAATTGGCAAATTATTACAAATTTTTAGTGGTTTACCATTCTTTTATGAGATGAACTAATTAGATAATAATAATTAATATTGAAAACATACTTACTAGGCAGTAAAATAAAATTACAATCATTTCAATAATTGCCACAGAAAAAAAGTTTTAGCCTCTTATAAGAGAGTATTAAAATGACACGATTTCAGGTTTCTAAAGGGTGCCGATTAAAGATAAAGCAACTGAAAATTAAACGGCAACGGTTTTTCATATATGATACCTAAAAGATCATCTTCAAATTTTTTCATTAAAATAAAAAATCATGCAGCGCACTTTTAAATTCAATATTGGTGTTTTCATTTCGATTGACTCAAGGTACAAAATTTTGTCAATTAAAAATGTTAGGCGGGAAAATTATATTAAAAAACGTTCGTTTTTATTTTTTGAATTTTGTAAACAAAACTTTTTTTATAATTACCTTAATCTACATACAGGTCCAATGGACAGTGAGGTGTTATGCACATTGGTATTCGCGAAACTTTTAGAATAATTAACTTTTAGTTATTCTGGCTTAAAATGCACTGTTTATAGCCACTATGGATAGATTTGTTTGTTAGAAGCGAACTGCTACGTACGTCTAGGGCCTACAAGCTATACTTACATTCGTACAAAAAAAATTATTTTGTAAATAAAAAGTTTTAACACTTTAATTTGTCATTTTCCATTTTAAATTAATATCACATAATAGTATATTATGTATCAAATTTTATAAACGTCATTTTACTTAGGAGTTTAATTAAGCACGAGCGAAGCTTGCAAGCGTGTTTAATAAAAACCAGTGTCTAGAGAAGTTTACAAACGAGTTGCATACTATACTTTATCTATGACGATCAAAACAAAATTTAAAGCCAATTTTATTTGTTAAATATTTTATATCTATCAACTGTCACCAAAATTTTACCTCACTTTTTTCCAATTTATAGTAAAGCTAACTTCAGCCCGTGACTAAAAACAGGGTTTCCACTAAACCTGGAAATCCTGGAAGTCATGATAAAGTCATGGATACAAATTTTAAGCATGGAAGTCTTGTATTTTGGTTAAAAATGACCAAAAGTCATGATTTCCACTAAAGAGTCTTACAAATAATATTTTTACTACTCATTTATGGAAATAAAGGAGTGGGAACTTAAAAAACTTAAATTGGATCTGATAAAGAAAACGGAATTGGAGTCAATTGAAACATTAATCAAACTTTTGAAAAAATATTTATTAGACATTTTATTTTGTTTATTTTAATAAAAAAAAATATTTATCAATCAGTTCTCCGCATGTCAATTTTCTTGGTCATGGAAAAAAATATTTCCATGGTCATGGAAATTGAAATTATATTGTTGGTGGGAACCCTGTAAAAAGCTTAAAAGCCACTTTTTCTAGCTTCAGCCCGTGACTAAAATGTCATAAAGTCACAACTCGTCAATTAAGGATTAAATAATAGTATATTATTTATCAAGTTTTATAAACGCCATTTTAGTTACAAGTTTTATTAGGCACGAGCGGAGCTTTCGAGCGTCTATAAACTCATCTATAAATGAGTTTATCTACGACGAACAGAAATAAGAATTTAAAGCCAATTTTAGTTCATAAATATTTTACATTTGACGAATTTAACCGCTCTTTTTTGCAACTTATAATAAAGCTAACATCAGCCCGTGACTAAAACGCCATAAAGTGACGTATTACAATTTCCACGGCGATATTCATACAAAATGAGATGATTGTATATTACTTTAAACTTTAAAGTATTGTTTAAGTATCGGTTGAATTAATTTATCTAATTTATTTAAAACTCTAAACACATACGTATACGAAAAATAATATAAACTTGTTTTTTTAATCATTTTACTGTAAAACTCAAGGTTCGAATCATTCATTTATTTTTCCGCGATACGCTAATACTGCTGCTATCTTTTGTGCTTAATTTTAAAGGAAGATGAATAAATATCCTTGAGTTTTATGTAACTATAATTGATTTAAAGTGTATATTTATGCATCGACGCCTTAGGAAACTGCTTTTGTTTTATTTCAAGATTTGAAGCACGATTAACAAGTGTTTTTAATTATTTTGACATATGTATAAGTAGTATACATTTTATATGTAACATATACATATGTGTATGTATAGGTAGGAATGTTTAAATAATATTTACGAAAAGCTGAGAATTTTTATTTACAAAATTATTAATATAAAAAATTATGTAAATACTTATAGGCATAATTCAAAGTTATTCTGTAATCTTTTTGGCTCTCTCTTCCACATATTCATCCCATTGGCATTGGTAATAATTACCAGCCACTGGATTTCCAAAATTGTATTTTTTTGCGAATTTCCTGATTGAAAAATTGAATCTGTTTATTCTTGAAAATGCAGTTCCTCTTGGTTCTTCAAATGTTAATTTTTCTTTTTGTTCATAAACCAAGAAAATGTACCTACAAGTAAAATTTTTAATTATAATAATTATTAATATAAAAATAATCTACCTATATTTTAAAATCTGTGTAAATTTTCAGGTACGGTATCCTAAACTAACCTAGTTTTTTTTTATTAGCATGGCTACAATGACAATTAACGTGTTTGTTTTTTTATTTTATTACAAAGTTGGCATCTCATTCAATTTTAAAACTTGATGACAGCCATAAAAAAACAATGTTTTCCGATTGCGTTTCCGAAAATGAAAATGAAATCTTAATTAACGGACTAATATTTCGAAAAAAACATACAAGCTTTTCATAAAATTTTGGAAAAAATGGGCAGACTAAGACTACACGGGATATTATCGTTTATTAAACGTTGTCAGGGGCGTGCTGGGCCGCCGGGACACCGGGAGAAATCCCGGTGGGCCGGTGGTCAGGAGGGCTAAGTGGGCCGGTGTGCCGGAGGGCTATGTAGGCAGCATGCCGCAGCACGTGGTCAATTAAAAACTTTTTTAGTTGAGTTATGTATAAATTATTTTAAACATACCATGCATGCCAGCCTGCCAGCTTTGTTTCTTTTTTCGAGGTTGTATATTGTTTATAGTTTCCTGAGCGATGATAATTTGTATTAGTTTTTATTTTAAGTGCAATGCTATATGTTTTAGCATTGTGTAAAATATTGTCTGGTTGTGTTTGTTGCCTGTTTTTTTTTCAAGAACTTAATTTATACTTTATGTTATTAATTATTAATATATTAATATAATATATATATGTTTGAAATTTTTTAACTTGTTCACCCCCCATTTTTCGTGTGTAGTTGGCCGATTTTTCTGAATTTCCCGGGCCGGTCTGATATAGCCAGCACGCCCCTGAACGTTGTAAACGTTGACAAAAACAATGACAATTTTAAAGCTTTAAGTGCATACGAGAAAAAAATCAATATTCAATCATCGATTGGGTTGGGTTGGGTTGTCATGTTAATTAATTGCATCTCCTATACATCCAGTGGTGTAACTAAGCAATTTTCACCACGTATCCTCCTATGTGTATAGGTACTTTTTTATTTGAAGAGCTACAAGGTCGGTTAAACTAGAATAAATTGGAAAAGAAGCCGGCGATTTTTATTTTTATTTATTTAAAAAAAACTAACCTTTCGAAACCAAAAATCGTTGCATTTTCGTTATTCCAGGAAATTTTGAAAAGAAAGGTAAGTTTTACATCCAAACACCATCCAATTTCTTCGCTACAGTATTTTGAGTTACCATTACCATCTTTTGTTTTTATCATGGCCTCCATAAATTATGTAGTTTGATTCATCGTTGGAATTATTTTTTTTTCCAACTAACCATATAAAATTCCATTAAAAGATGGTGGTGGTAATACCAAATCTAGTGGGCGAAAAAAATCACACATTTGATGAAAATATAGATAAATGTGTATGTTTACATGTAAAACTTACTTTTCTTCAAAATTCCCAGGAATAACGAAATTATAACAATTTTTGGTTTTGATAGGTTTACAGTTTTTTTTCAAATTATTTGAGAACAGCATTTTTTTTTTCAATTTGTAAATGCCTATTATGCAAATTTTCTTAAATTAACCCCTTCAGACCTGAATTTAATTTAATTTAATAATAGTTAGAGGTCTAAACTCATGGACATGTATAAAAATATTGTTTATGTACAGGGTGATCCCCTATAATGTCGCCCCCCTTTAACTTTTTTATTTTAAGTGTCCCAAAAAATTTAAAAGTGTGGTTATGTAGGTACTTAAAAATACTTTTTTTCTGCGTATAAAGAAAATTGCAAAATTGATCAATATACCTACAGGGAAAAACAAAAAGTTTATTTTTTTTCAATGGATCACCCTATATATGAATTTATTTTTCGATTCCTTGTAAAATTCTGAGCCTAATTCATATAATAACCATATACCTAAATTCAACTGTTTCTGAAATATTCGCATTCGAAATGTTATCATTAAATGTTTTTTTAAACTGTTAGAAATCAAGAAGCCTCAGTATACCAAAATTTTTATTGAAAATAAATTACTATAGTGACATTATGTCAATATGTCTTGTCAGAGAAAGACAAACTATTTCAACTTGTTATCTTAAAAATTATTTAAATATTTCAGAAACGGTTGAATTTAGGTATATGGTATATACCATATACCTAAATAAAAAAGAGTTATATGTTATATGAAATATGCTTAGAATTTTACAAGGAATCAAAAAATAAATACATATATAGGGTGATCCATTGAAAAAAAATAAACTTTTTGTTTTTCCCTGTATACTGATCAATTTTCCAATTTTCTTTATATGTAGAAAAAAAGTATTCTTTTGGTACCTACATAACCACACTTTTAAATTTTTTGGGACCTTTAAAATACCCTGTACATATTATGATACAAAATATTAAATTAACAAGATTCTTAAACTACACTAAATTATGTTACACCCTGACAATTTGCAACGTGTAGCCTCTTTGTTTGTGTCAAATTGTGGTAAATGGTCAGTTCTGTCGTTTTCTATTTCTTCTATTGGGCATTTTTCAACACAGTTGCGTATATTTGTTGTTAAAGCCTTAACTTAAAGGGACAGGGGACACTAGACTTTACCAGCATGGGGCGCAGGAGACCGATACCGCACTTGAAAGATTAGGCTCAGCATTCAACGTGATAAATTCGGACGAAAGGTTAACACTGAATTCAGTAACGATTTTTTCCTTTTAAACAGATTTATTTTTTGGTTAAAATTTAAATCATCATTGTCAAAAACAAGTAAAAGTTGGAAGTAATAAAAAATAAATCGAATAGGGACAAGTGAAACTCGAAATAGGACAATATATTTACCTGTGGAGACCTGTACCCTTTGGAGGTCCAGAACTCTGGAACGGAGAAATTACGTCAGCTACCGGTGACGAAACATCACTTCCGGGAATATTCCCCACCAACCAGTGGTTGTACTCCCTGACTTTGGGATCGGCTCTGCTGGGGGCGTCAGGATCGACCATCGAGAGGACATAGTATTTGCTAGGGTCAGCCTCCCACTTTACTGTAGGTTCGTTTTTTACTTCGGTAGGGGTGAGTTCATGGCCAAAGTCAACTTCCTTACCACTGTCAAAGACCACAGTGATCTTTGCTGATGGAGCTACGTCGATAGAGTCGGGTATTATACCATCGGCTTCCATTTTCTAATGATATTAAAAAAAATGGTCAAATTTGGTATAATATATTATAATTATAATTTTATATAGTACTGCCTTAAGTAATTATTATTAAAAAAAAAGTTATAATTAGGTTAAATCCGTTAAAAGTTGACAGATGTCAAATGTTTAACAAATAAAATTGGCTTTAAATTCTTTTTTGTGTTCGTCGTAGATAAAGTATAGTATGCAACTCGTTTCATAAACTTCTTCAGACACTCTTTTTTATTAAATACTCGTTTGCAAGCTTCGCTCGTGCCTAATACAACTAAAATGGCGTTTATAAAACTTGATAAAAGAGTGCTATAAAATGGCTATTTTAATTTATAATGTATTACATAAAAATATAAAATAACTAATACAAATACACACCTTAAAATTGTTGAAGCTTCTTTATAAAAATAATACTATTTATGAAACTTTGTATAGATACTGCTTATTTATTTATCCTTAATATTTATCAACGTACACGTACAGGGTCGGACTATTAATTTTTAATAAAGTGGGGCCAGATTTAAATTATCTTTAATTAGCTCTCCATCAAATTTCTTTCTATGGCTGTTTTTAAAATTTGTGGAAAAATATTGTGCAAATTGTTTGATTTTTGTAAAATTTTGTTATAGAGGCAAAAGTTGTGCAATCTTACTATTTGTATATTTTTAGTCTTTTGTAAATAAAGCCAATACATAAACTTGTGATTTTATTTGTCGTAATACTAAGAGTATATTATGCAACGACCATTTAATAATGGATATTAAGACATAAGCATGAGCACTTTGTTATGATATGAAGGCGAATGTCATAATGAGTGGGAGCATCTTAATAGCCCAATAAATGGGAGTTGCATAGTATGAAATGCATACTCTATTTTTTCTATGACTATCACAATAAATTAGAAAATTAATTCTATTTAAACAGTAACTTGTCAAAATTAATAAAAATTTGATCTGTCAGATGTTCAATTCAAGAGTTGATATTGGCAGAATATTGTCCTGTATCTTATTATAGTGCAGGTAGGGTCTTATAAACAAATTAAAGCATGGGAGTAGAAATATATTCTCTTAAGTGTTTTATTATTTTTATTGGGTACCAAAATCATGCGTAAAGGGCAATGCCGGTACTGCTTTATCATTAAAAATAAATGCTGATAAGTAAATTACTTATCATAATACCTATAGTAGATAACTAAATATAATTTCTAAATATTAATGTTATTTTAAATCATCTTTATATATTACCTATATACAGGGTGTCCCAAAAATAATGTGCAATAATCTACAATCGGTTTTTAGGGCCAAAAATAGGAAGAAAATTTTATATGAACATAGGTCGGCAAATAGCCCCTAAAGGACCTATAGAGCCCCTAACGGGGCCCCTGAAGATGTTTTTTTATTATTATTATTTCTGAAATGGTTTAAAATAAAATAATTTGTTTTCCGAAAATATTTAAGTATTTATTTTTTCATTAATGTTTAGGGTTAAATATATTAATTAAAAAAGATATTTTTTCATTAGTTATTTTTTTATTCGAAAATGGTGCATATTATCGATGTTCAACAAGAGTAAATTTTTAAGTGGAAAACTCTAAATTTTTATATTCTGGGGCTAAAAATACCCTGTTTAAATGTTGTTGTTATTTTTAAACTCGGCATAAAAGTTAAGTAAGCAAACAAAATTTCGATATTTTATCCCAAACTGTTTCGGAAATAATAACAAAAAAGAAAATTTCTTAATAATAATAATAATAATAATAGTGATAGTTTATTTGCAGAAGGTGTGCATTATTTTACAGTATATCATATGTAGATATAAAATTTCCTGCAAAATGGACTGGAAGGCATTTATTTTTGTCTTTACACAGAGAAAAAAGATGTTTTAATTCAAACAAGAATGTTTGTTTAATTTTATTTATTACATTTAAAAAAATATAAATTTAATTCAAAAACATTTCTTTAAAAAGAATAATTGTCTTTATTTAAAAGGAAAAAGCAAATTTATTAAAATATATATTTAAAACAAAGTACCTGACTTTTATTTCAAAATTGCACTTATTCTGTTTAAATAAAAGTTGACTTTCTTAAATTATAAAAACAATTTACTTGTTTTAAAAAATTAAAAAGTTTAAATTAAACAACAAATATTATTTTTTTTAAAAACATGGTTTAATTTTAAAATATAATTTTAATTTAATTCAAAAAAATTAATTATTTAAAATAAACAAATTATTATTTAAATACAAAAAAATTGTAATTTGATTTAAAGCAGAGGTTTATTTAAACTTTTTTGCTCACGTCGAAGTAGCATGACTTGCATCCTATTGGTTGCTGTAAATCAGGCGACTGCAGACACCCAATGGGCTTTCCATTTTGTATGTACGTGATTTTAGAGACTCCAATTTAGAGCAGGGTGTTGATGAGAAGTGTGGTGTGGCATTATAATAAAATAATAAATAATTTTATATTATTTTATACTATGGAGGACCTTTTAAAGGAATGGGGTCTTGAGAAATTTATTCCTGTTTTTAAAGGTAAGTAATTTAAATAATTACTTGGAATTTATCATTATTATTTGCAGACCCTGGTGGATTTATGCAGCACACATTAACATTAAGTTAAAATTAACATAAGTATTTTTAAGTTAGTGAAGTATTTGTATATTTTAGGGTTTCCTATATGTATTTATAAGACTTTTATGCAATAAAGATTAGTGTTTATTCATAAAAAATTTAATTTATTTTTACTCCCCAATATACCAATATATATTAATTACTAGATTAGATGAAAAAAAGCATTATTAATTAAAAAAATATATCTTTTAATCTGAATAAATAATTTTTATTAATTCAAATATAATAATTATTTAATTTAAATAAATCAATCTAAATTAAATTAATTAATTCTTCTTAAATTTAAAAAAAAATATCTCTTAATCCAAATAAATTATTTATAAATTGTTTTTAACACAAATATTATAGGCATTTAAGTTAAATAAATTAATTTTAAATGAAATAAATTATCTGTTTTACGTAAATAAAATCATTTTTTTAATTTAAAAAAATACATATTTGTTACTTGGTTTTATTTCATACAAACTAATAATATTTGTTTGCGTTGAATAAATTAACTTTAAATTAAATAAATTAAAACAAATAAATATTTTTTTACATTCAAAAGAACATTTATTTGGGTATATCGAAATAAATAATTTATTTGATATAAATAAAATTTATTTAATTCAAATAATCTTTTTTCTCTGTGTAGAAACCACGTGAAGAGTATTGCACTCTATTTTCGGGACACACTGTATATTAAATAAAAAGTTTAAAAACAGTTTTTATAAACATAATTTCATTCTTAGAACAACCCCTAAAAATTGAAAATGCATGATGCCCTATTTTTTCTCCTGCGTAACATGTCCAAATTTTTTAAAAAACTCGTCCCTTTGGAAATTAAAATATGACCGATTTGGGCGTATTTTCAAAAGTTTATTAAACTATCAAACGAATTTGTTGTAATTACGATTTTTATTTTTTTGAATTAGGCAGATTTTAAAAAATGGCTTTAAATAGACCAACATGTGTAGATTCTCATTATCTACTTTTTGAGTCATTTTCGTTTTTTTAATTTTACAAAATTATTTGAAATGTTGTGCATCGGGAAAGATAAAATAATAATTATAAAAAATAATTGCGTATAAGCCGGTCAAACAAAAGGCGTAGCCCAAGCCATAAGGCTTCAATTGAAATGGGATGTTAGCATTTTATAATGCGTAATAACTTAAAAGAAAACATTATAAACTAAAAATAAACTATTTTAAAAAAGTTTAAAAAAGTTATACGCGCCAAGGGGGGGTTTAATTCCAAACCAGCCCCCACTCCTGCATATTAAAAACCTTATAATGTAAAGTTATTGTATTAAAAAATGTTACACTTACCTCCTTGATAAAACTTTCTGATGAATTTACATTTATAACAAATATTAGATTAAATAACAAAACAACCTTATTCATGTTTAGTCTTTGAGAAGATCTTAACTTGAATGGTGGCTATGTAAATGTATTATTGTTTCTTTATTTAAAAGAAAGTTGATTTAAGTAATGTAGGTGTAAAACTGGTTTTCGTATTTAATAAATAAATCAATAGCTATTAAATTATTTATCAGTTATTGCATGTAAAACTATAAAGTAAGCACATAACATTTGCTATATAAAAATTTAAAAAATTTTAATTTAAGTATGTGTACGGACACTGCTTAAAAAACAAAAATTAAATCTTACATTTAATGTGATTTAAGAAGTGAAATAATAAAGCAAAAACTAAAACCTAACCAAATTTATGTCGCCTCAAGTGTAAAACCAAAACTAGTACTTTTGGATAGATAATTACTTTATAAAAAAGCAATTTTAATTGCTTGGATCTCGTTAAAGAAACTGTAAAGTATTTAACTGTTTTTATAATTAGGTATAGTTAGCCAACCTTCAAATTCTCCAGTAATTAGGATAAAATATTGTAAATTCTGTTTTTCTGTTTATAACATTAGCATCTTACAGATTGGATAAAGATATTTACGATCATTATAAAATTGTAGGTAGGTACCCAGATATTCTGTAAAATTTGACTTTATTTTAATTTATTATTTAACAAGGTTTTTCGTTTTTTATTGACAAACATTATTTTTACCCTACTGTTAAATTATTTTATAAGAACTTTAAAAAAAAATATTTTTAGTAGTACATTATTATGAGGCGCCATTTGTGTCATTAATAAATACAAACATATATAATTTTTACTGATATTAGTAATATATATTTTGTTGTTAAAAATAAATTTATATATTTTTTTCTTTTTTAAAAGGGTGTTTCACATTCGTAATCCATTAGAAGTTTCTGGGTAACGGAAAAAGATATTGATTTGAAATTTTAAAAGCCTTTAAGTCTATTTTTCTAAATTATTTTGAACAAAATGACACTTCCGTAAAATTACTATACCATGTCCTATACCTATATTTTTCGAGTTATATATTACAAATGCGCGTCAATTAAAAATAGCATATAACTTTTTGTTATTAGGTTTTTGCGGATATAGTGGTGGAATTTTTTGAATCTCAAAAAATTCCATGTCAAATCTTTAACATTTTTTAACAAATTACCTGACAAAGCCCAGGGAAAATTAGGCTAACACCCGGTATATTTTTACATAATCAAATAGTAAATTAATAGTAGTCAATTTTTTAGGTTGTTATAAACAATTTGTTAATTGATTAATTGTTCTGTTAACAAAATTACTGATGAAAAATAGCAGTCAGTGACTTATAAAAAACATTGACAAGCCAAACATTTTTAAAATTTAAAAGTAACACAAATAGTATTTTCTAATTTAAAAAAAATCAACAAAGCTGTAGGATGTCATTTAGGTAAAGCACTAGCTTCTTGGAGACAATTAAATACAAAAAAAAATGAAATATTTTAATAACAAAAAGGATATGTCATTTAGGTAAAGCACTAGCTTCTTGGAGACAATTAAATACAAAAAAAAATTAAATATTTTAATAACAAAAAGGATATGTTACTGTAACAATTTAATAAACAAACAATATTTTAATTAACAATTTTTATTACCAATTTATTACTAAATGTTCAAAGTGGCCTCCATTTACATTCAAGCATTTCTTAATTCCTCTACATAAGACGTTGCTCTTCTTGACTATTCTGGGTCTAATATTAATTAAATTGTTAAATATCTCTGAAATTATTAAATTTATGTATAGGAAATCAATCGAAATGTTTTTTAATTAACGAGGAGTCTTTTCCAGGAAAGATTTAACCAAGAGTGATATTTTAGCATACTAACCCCAATGGTGTAGCGTTTTCAAAATCATACCTCCACATACGGTTGTAAGCTTTCTCAATGTTACAAATGCTGTTACATGATGTCGTTTACTTAAAGCTGTCTGGATTGTTTGTTGAAGATCCGCCGATACGAAAACCAGACTGACATATAAATCTGGGTGTAACTCTCCTGTTCCAGACAAGCCCTTTATTCACCATAGTTTTGAGAATTTCGCTAAGACACGACGTGGCTTATTGTACGATACATTGCTGGGTTAGTAGTTTTTTTTTCTTATTTAGAAATTGCATCGACAAGCATCTCTCTGCATTTAGTCGTATAATCACCCTTTGGACCAAATTTTGTTAAAATGTTGAAACCTCAGAACTACGAAAATGAACTTTCAGGAATTTCCTCAACAAATAACCTACGACGTTGCCTGATTTGCTACTTCCATGAGATGGTCTGTAAGGAGATTGATGTGTTAGGTTAAAATTCAGACCAGGGCAGAAAAGTGTTAACAAAAATTTTTTTTTTAGAGCGTAGGTAACTAACTTATCCAAAATTGGGCACATTGATTTTCAATGTCTAGTCAGTTGCAAATATGAAAATATTCGTATTTTTTAAATTGACCGGAAGCCCCCATTTTGGAAAAGTTGATGCTCTTAAAATATCTTGGCACAAAAATTATTTTTTTTAACTGACACTCTTTTTTTTTAAACACTCGCTCGCAAGCTTCGCTCGTGCCTAATAAAACTCAACTCAAACTAACTAAAATGGCGTTTATAAAACTTGAAACATAATATACTATTATATTTACATGAACAGGGTGATCCATTATAAATGTCCACCCCCCCTAACTTTTTTCCTTTGGATTTTAGAAAAAAAAGTTTTATATAAAAGTTGTAGGGATCAACTAAAAGTTTTTTTTCGTGTTATTTTTACGTATACAGGGGGATTCAAAAACATATTACAGATAAAAATATATTTTTTTCCTATGGAATGACCTATATTTTATACCCTTATGTAATAACTCTTTAAACTCTGACTTCAAAAATATATAACACATTATGGATATTTTTAATATATATGGCAGAAAATGCCAAAAACTGAAATTTCACTTAAGCTATGGCTCGTCATTTTTTCATTCGTCGTTTCATTATTTAGATTTTTGCAATAATTTATTACTAATAAATAAAAGACTCTTCTATATTTTAGTGGTGGCCATATTATGACGAACGGACAAAGTTAAAAAAATCAAAATATATGTTAGGTACCAATATAATATAAACATGATTTGCCTTTTTCTTCTTTTTAAGTATTTATTTTTCCGAAGTGATAAATAAATAGGTTTAAACGCCTTTCTAGATGGTGGATTTCTATATGTATATTCGCATCTTGCCGCAACTGCATTTTTGTTATTTTTAATATATAGATTAATAATTTCAAATTTTTCAGTTTCGGAAAACACCATAATTACACACTTTTTCTTAATAACTGTCATAGTAATAACTAAATAAACAATGGAACGATTAATGGCGTCCCATGGCTTGCTAAGTTAAATTTTAGTTTTTGGCATTTTCTGTTTTAAGTATCAAAAATAACCCTGATGTCATATATATTTTTGAAATCAGCGTTTAAAGAGCTATCACATAAGGATATAAAATATAGGTCATTCCATAGGAAAAAAATATGTTTTTATCTGTTATTTTTTTTTTGGATCCCCCTGTATACGTAAACATAACACGAAAAAAAACTTTTAGTTGAACCCTACAACTTTTATATAAAACTTTTTTTTCTAAAATCTAAAGGAAAAAAGTTAGGGGGGGTGGACATATATAATGGATCACCCTGAACATTACATATTTGTTAGAAGTATTTTTATTTAAAGTACCTATTTAAAGGAATGCCTATTTTTAGTTCTTTTTTTATCTTAATATTTTGGATATAAATTTTATTACGTAATTATTACTCTCAATTTTTGAAAGTAATTACTTACTCTTACTCTTAATTGACAATAGGTACTTTGTGAATAATTTCAATACTGATTAGCTCAAAAAAATGTCAATTTAACAGCTCGTTAAAATAAACAAAAGCAAGACAGGATTTAATTTGATCGTAAAAATGGTACCGGATAACTATAACAATTTAGATTAAACCAAACAATGCATACAGCAGACATTTTAAAATGCCAACTTTCTCTGCGACATTTATAAGTGACTGATGTTAAACCATAAAAATTTAAATAAAACGGTTATCCAAAATAATGTTTGATTTATATATTGTTAAATAACTATAACTATAACTTATAAGTTATAATAATAAATAAAATATTACAAATTAGATGTCAATTGGGAGTTAAGGCAAATTTAAATAATGAAATGTATATTAGGTGGTTAATAGTATACTATATCTATAGATAAATTAAAAGATGGATTTTTTTAAATGCATTTTTTGGTTAATTTTAGTTTAATATTAAATATATTTAAATTATTTTAATAAAATAAATAATAAAAATTTAAAATCGTATAAAATCTGTAATATTTGGATTTTTTAAATAAAATTTTTAATTTTTTTGATAAATTATAGTAGATTATAAATTGCACCACTTTAATTTGAATTATCTCATTTAGGGGGGCCAGGAGGCGGGTGAGGCGATACGAAAAACTAACTTTACCTATTTCGCAAACTTCAATTTAAATTTTGGTGGGCCGAACTTGCCTATTTAATGTCATTAGAAACTATTATAAATTTGGTGTGTGTCCCATGTCTAATAACTGAGATATTGGTATACCAAAAATCCAACGGTTTTTATTGAAACAATTTAAATAAGGCAGCTATAGATGACATGTTTGACACATATATTTTTAAGCTTTAATAAAAAAATTATTAAAATTAACTTTAGGTGTTTATTTTGTAAGTAATATAAAGAAAAAAATAAAACATGTGGTGTCACAATTTATAGTTAAAAAGATTTTCAACCAACAGTTCCTATATTTTTTTAATATAATAATATATAATCATGATATATCATAATACAACATAATTGCCTTTTTTAGCGTTGGTGAGACAAGCTTGATCAATTTTCAATAGTTAGCGGTTTCTTGTTGTGTAATAGAATGTGTATGCATAGTAATTGGGAGAAAAATAGACTTGATTTTTGGTAATAGCTTTAATAATATTAGAATAGGTTAGATTATTTGCAGAGATTTTTCTTTTTAGTACTACCCTAATGGTTGCACCTTAGTAGTTCCGGCCCTGACCATGAAACCTATT